TGCAAATTAAAATATAGCTACATCTGCAACTGTATTTGATAATGTTTTGAACTTTTAAAATATTGCCTGGTAGAACCAGAAGCTGTACTTCATATATATACACACTGCATACACCCATAATTAATTTAAATGCAAATTAAAATATAGTTGTATCTGCAACTGTATTTGATAATGTTTTGAACTTTTAAAATATTGCGTGGTAAAAGCAGAAGCTGCACTTCATATTAGTGACAAACTTTGGTGTTTTTTGATGAGTTACCTTCATTTTTGCTTCTACTTTTCATTTAAAATAAGTTTCCATTCTCAACAGGTTTCTATGGTTCTTCTTTTACGTATTAAAAAAGTTGTTAAACATCTGAGTGGTGCACTATTGCTACTAGTGGTCAGAAAGTGTATTGCACCTTATTCAAAATCAATGCGGTCTCACGGCCCTCTGTGGCCCAAAGTTAAAAACTGTTGTTCTTTTGAGACCCTCAAGGTGGCGCTCACGGCCTACAATTGGGCCTCGGCTCATGGGACGAAATAAGCAATGTAACGAAATAAGCAACAGCAGATTTTGAACAAACTGAAACATTTGACCCATAAAAAAATATAAAAATATCTTTGCAGTAACTGGACAGAATTACTTAAAGTTTTCTACACTCCTAGACACTATAATTGCACAAAAAATAGTTTATAAATGCAAAAAAAGTGCATTTAGCATGATATGTCTTCTTTAAGAATCTCTACATAGGGTGTTTGTTTAAATTCCAGCCACAGACAACACTTGGAGTCCAGGTAGACCAACTTTCCTCTGAGTTGTTTCAGCCACAAAGAGAACCAACAGGAAGGAAGCAAAAAATAAAGAATCAGAGAAAAATCATGAATTCTAAATGTAAATTAATTCTAATTATAATAATAAATTAATAATAGTTTTACATCTAAAAATCATATTTTATTATTTTCATCTACTTTTCCACCATTCAGCAGCCTAATTGATTTTTTTGTTGTTCTTTATAAAAGTGTCTAAGTTTAATAATGTGTGAGAAATCCACATTTTTTTATTCAGTCAGTATTTAATACAGCTTGACAAAATAAAATAAAATATATTGTTCTGCTTCATTTTTTAAGTTATATTATAAAAGATTAACCCTTCATGTTATGGAAAGACCCTCTTGATACAAAAGAAAACTCAGCTTTTTAAGAAAATGGCTGCTTATCAATTAAYCGTTAGTCGATGGATACATAATCAACTTTARATTAATTCATTAATGGATTACTTGCATCCCTAGTCCCCAGTTAGAACATTCTCATCTAAACCTGCACTGTAGAAAAACATTTTCTTCCAAGTTTTCATATTACAGACACCTGTTGACTTATTKTTTTGAACATTTCTTGTTCTTCAGATTTGCCGGCTACGCAGCGAGTTGGACGTTGTTCGTGGCAACACTAAGGTGATGTCCGAGATGCTGACTGAAATGGTGCCAGGACAGGAGGATTCTTCAGACTATGAGTTACTACAGGTGATACGAAATGCTCTGTGTGTGTTTGCATGTTTGAATCCGTTCCTACGACTTTCAAACCCAGTCTTAAGCGATTACGTGACCATTTTGTACTCGCTTGTGTTGCTCAGGAGCTGAACCGGACCTGCAGAGCCATGCAGCAGCGGATAGTGGAGCTCATCTCCTGCGTTTCTAACGAGGCAGTGACCGAGGAGCTGCTGCACGTAAACGACGACCTCAACAACATTTTCCTTCGCTACGATAGGTTAGAAACCACCGAAAAGCTGTTTCAGCACACGAGAGTTTTTTACCTGACATTCACGTGTGAAAGAACGCAGCTCTTTCTGCTTTGTTGGCAACAATTAAAGAGTTTCTGTTTGTTTCTTTTGTGCCGCTCTTTCTTTCAGGTATGAAAGGTTTAGATCTGGGAGGTCCTCAGCTCAGAGTGTGAACAATGGGGTGAGTCAGAATTGTGTAGCTTGCATGGTCAAATGCCCAGTGTTTGCTTTAATACAACAACAAAAAAACAACAATTTAGTCCTYTGTGCTTCAGTCTGAGTCCTCTCTGTTTTTACATTTGAGTTATTCTTCTGTTTCTTCTGGCACCGTTCACCTTTCTGCTGTGTGGACCTGCATGTTAATCACCTGTCAGGCTTTTAAATGTTAGATACACACACAGAACTCGACAGAGACCCAGCATAGACATTAAATGCAACACATTTGTTTTCATCCTTTTTGACTACATTGTGATGATACAATGTAGGAAAAGAGACCTGTTGCATTTAAAAAGCAGTGATACGATGAKAATATTGATCTGGAATGGTCTCACCTCTTGTTGTTTAAGCATCATGTATCATCCACTACATTGTGTTTCTGCACTGGCATGTTATTGGTATTCACTGTCTCTTCCCTTCTACTTTTTTTTCTGTTCTTCTGTTTCTGTGGCTAGCTGAAACAGGCAAGTATTAAAAAAATTCTCATCCTCTCTAAATGAGCAGCTTCATCCCATACTGCATGTCTTGACCTGAATTGTCAGCAGTATATATGGGGGGAATCTTGACATAGTTTGCAGAAATAAATGTTAAAAGGCTGTTTTTCTGACTGACGTTTTTGCATCGGACCACAGATTTAGTCCTTCCTTCCTGCCTTTTCTGCTTATTCTTAAGGGGATTGTTGTGTGTTAGGTGTACAGGGGTGATAATGTAGTATCTATCTGTCACGCCTTAAAGCATTTCAATAATTTATCAGTTTCTTCCTTTTCTGTAAGAAAATCACTTTGGAACTGTTCTTTCAAACTAATGTCTTCTCAAACCCCCTCCCCCTTAAGAAACAACTTTTCTGAAAGTTTTTTGATTTTCTCTGTAGTCCCTAAACCTGTAGCTCACTGGGTTGCGACTGTTGATGACAGATTAACAGCATTCACAAGGGAGTTGCCAAAAATGTCTAGAAACAAGTTCTCAATTTTTTCCTGTGAGTCACAGGGGCGTCTTGTCCCTTGACATGTTTGAAAAAGTAGCGAAACAATTTTTTCTAAATAGTCRTAGAGTTGTCTCAGGTGTCTCAAAAGTATCTTGAGTCCTGTTTAGTTTAGCTTCTGTCAAGTACTAAAACTGTAATTTTTTTAAATGAACTGCCATGTTTGCTTCTGTATACATTATTTACATTTTAAAAATAAAATTGGCATCAAAAGTTTTTTTCAAGGGGGCAGGGGCTCTCCAAATGCTCAACTTTTTTACCTACCTTATGACAACAGGGTCAAACTCAATCAAACAAAAGGGCCAAAATTCGAAGCTTTATCCAAGCCAAGGACCAATTTCTGTCAGTACTGTATTTATTGAAGAAATGTTAAATAACAACTTACCCTTATAGAAATACAGATATCCTGTTTAGGGTTGGGCATAATCGTATTGTGTGCAATTAATCGTCAGGAAAACATTAATCGATTACTTTTTGGCACTTGATGATTAATACGATTAATGCCACCAGGTAGACTGACTGGGGATTACTCTGGTCAGGACTCTCGGTGCTCCTCTCTGCTTCTAATATAACCAAAATTTAAAAACAAAGTTCTGTAATTTATTTATCTATCAACACAATTTAAAATTAGATGTATAGCCTGAAGTCTAATTTTGACACAATTTGGAACAGATTTGTATGAAGAACAAATCTTTCTCATTAAATTGGTCATGTGACCAGGACATAAGGGTGTCCAGGAACTCCAGGGGATTAATTGTCAAATTAATCGTTATCAGCTAAATTCCACAATTAATCATGATTTTTTTTTGCCAATATTGCCCAACCCTAATCCTTTTCCAAATGGTGTTTTTTTGTAACATTTAAAACATATATAACCTAATGAATAAAGAAAAGATTCAATTTAGAAAGACTCATCATTAGCATTTATTTCTTAAGCATTACTCTCTGTCAACTTTTCCTTTGATTATTTCTTATTTAATCTCTTAGAGATACGTTTTATCACAATCCAGCAAATTGGTAAAAAAAAAAACTCCACCAAAAATTCAAATATAAGTAATGACTACAGCAAAAAAATGATTTAAGTCAGTTCTCTGCTGCTCTTTCAACACGATAATCAAAGACTACTGAAAAATTCTAACTTTTTTTTTTGTCTTGAACGATGGCCAGGTGTTAATAGAAGAATGCGTTAAATATAGTACCATACCACTTTATTTCTAAAGCACTTAACAACAACATAGCAGCTGACCAAACTGCTGTACAAAAATATAAAACAAAACACAAGAATAAACCAATAGTACAATGAAAAAAATAGAACTCAAAATATCACAGATACCAGAAAAGAGAACAACATTAAGACACAGATGCTAGTTCACTCTGGGTTAAAAGCCAAAGAGAAAAAATATGTTTTAAACGAGTTTTTAAAACAAGTAACAAAAATAGAAACCATAAAGCTMTATCACATTTAATGTATTACCTTTGGGGCCAGATATAATGGTAATGAGGGCCAGATTTGGCCCACGGGCCTTGTTTGACAAATGTGCTTATGACATCCGTGATAAAACTAGGCAGATGTGTGATGCCAAGATGTCATGAATAATTACTAGCCAATTTTTTTCTCCAACTCCTACAATTGGTGCATAAATACCTACAAACCTTTAGTATGGGTGTACTGAAGCAGCTGCTGTTTGTAGAAAAAAAAACACACCTACCATGCTTGTGTTTTTATATGTTTGTTGACATATGTTTTATGTTTTACGCAAACATGAAGGAGCTTAATTTCTGATTTGAGTTGGCAGATCTTTGGTTATTCAAAAAAATACAGCCTCAAATGTTCAGGGCTAAAAAAAACATGCTGATGATAAATATTAATTAGGAAAGATTTGGCCCAAATCTACCTTTCTTCATTTCTAAAGTGTATTCTAGTAGATAATATCTAAAATGTGTGGGCGGCTGACAAGGTGGGTACAAAGCAGGCTAAGTGGGGTAAAATATGGGTAACAAGGTAATGTGCACAGCCTAATTTTGCAAGTTGAGCACATGAAAATAGAGATTTTAAAAACATAGTCAGCAAAAAAAAACTTGCATACATCATTTATTCACAAACATGTTTCATTGAGACGGCAACTAAAATGTGTGTATTTTCTCACTGTTTTCTTGTAATTTTCAGTCTGAAAAACAGTGGCAGCCCAGTGAAATACTGGCTTTAGTTACAGATCTCTTCATACTGTTCTATAGTTAACCAGCTAGTTTGTCCAGTTTTATGTCTTTATGCTCCACTCTGCTCTTTGTAAAATATATTTCATAGAAAGTATATTTTTTACTTTTTTTAGTTAATTCCCCCCCCCCCATCACAAATGTAAATCCTGTGCTTTCCAGAAAATAATTTATTTGCAGAGACCATCAGACTGTCTCTTTGCTGCAACAGGACATAAGAGCTGCTGTGTCTCGTTTTTCCATCAGGTCCTCAGCGAGGCTACAGAAGACAACCTCATCGACCTGGGTCCAGGCTCCCCAGCGGTGGTCAGTAACATGCCCCACACAACTCCAAMCAGTTTGCCCCCCACCCTGACAGCACCTACAGGAGGACCCTCCTCCCCGGCCACTTTGTCCTCCCGCCTGGCTGGTTTAGGTATTCAGAACCTTTTCCTCTTAATACTCGATAAAAAAAAATCCTGTCTATCCGGACTTTATAGTAAAATGTCCTGCTGTGTGGGCAGACTTCTGTGTCAGGAATAATTACATCCAARCATCCTGATTATCAGCCAATTAGATGTTATTTATACCACTGTGGATTAAGAGCTTGACTGCCGTGAGGTAGTAATAGTTTCTGAACATTATTCCAGTTCTGGTGTTCACTGTGCAAAAAAAAAAAA